TTTCGAAAAAAAATTCACTTTATAGAAAAAAAATGGCCTTTTTTCGAAGAACTGTATCTTGGGAACCAATGGCTGTATAGAGTTCGCCTTAGTTTCAAATTGTAGCAAATTTAGTCTTCTTTAAAAGTCCGAAAATTTTGGATACACCGCCGCCCGCACACCATTTCTGAAATTGCAAATCTGGTTTTTTGATATTGGTAAGGTCCTAACAACATATAAAAAATTCAGAACGACCGGACCTTTTGCAAGCACAAGCCCCTTTTCCTGTTTTACTTTACTGGACTATTAGTTTAATTAACCTTAACATAATTATTGATTAGTTTTTTCAAAAACGAATGCCTTCAAACTTGTCCAGTAGAAGATTATGATTGGGAAACCCTGTACAAAAACTTAATATATGATTGAAACAAGTTTCCTTGCGGAAATCCTTGACTTTTAGCTTATGTGTACGTGTATTAAATGAAAGTGGCGAATTGGTTGCGCAATCAATAAGCAAGTGCATTCCATCTCATGTAGAAATAAACAAAACCATGCCAAATTATTCTTTTATATTTAATAGCAATCATTAACTGGCAATTGAATGAACTGTTTCTCCAAGGTTATTCAGTTTCTTAAATTATAGATTTACTGAAATTTTTGAAAATAGATGGCTTTTGACTTTTAGGGGAAAATTACCGATACTAGAAAGATATTGCAAATTTCTATAATGTCAGCCATTAATAGTGCGACAACGTTATTAGAGGCAAATAAATGTCATGCTAAAATAAGACTTATTGCAAACCTGACGTTTTGACATTAGAGTGCTTGTCCTTACATACGTATTTTATAACCTCATTTTAAGAATTTTAAATTATGTTTCATCTTTTTTGTTGTCTATAATAATACATAATATGGAAGAGACATTAGAAATTATCATTTAAGAAGGTTTAGATGACGATGATAGTAAATGTTTAATATTAAAACTGATTCGAATATTATAAAGTCGCCACTATCTGCTGCCCTTAAAAATCCACAACTAAGAACAGGCACAATCTTTAATAAGGTCAGTTCTAAAACGTAAACAATCTGCGCATGCTGAGATGTCAAAATAAGAGCTGCGCTAATAGGGACCGTGCGTGAAATATAGAGGCAGCACTACTGCCGAACTTAGCCCTCTCTAGTGTTTAATTTTAGAATTAAATGGGGTAAACATTGCAAGTAAATAATGAAGGGTATTTTTTTAAATATTAAATATAGTTAAAAATAGATACCGGCCCGTACCAAACAATCGTGTACATGGTCAAAATGACGTAAAATGTGAAACATTATTAAAATCTGGACATGCATATACATTTTAAGCAAAAAGATTTAAATGGCTAAGTGACAATAAATTGTAAAGTTGTACCTTAAACAAGTGTATCCAATGTTAAAATATAGGCATTTAGTAACACTGAATTTAAAAGTATTACAATAACATTTAAAAAATGTAAATTAATAAAAAAGATTGATAATAATAATTATAAATCTTTTTAGCTTTATGTTAATCGAAATGTCATTCATCCACTGGCGTTTATGAGATGTTCAATGATACATATATTATAGATTGCTCACCCAACTATAAAAAAATTATGAAAAGCTGGTTGCAATGTGCCTTTCCTAGTGCTCACTAAATAGAGCCGTTCTAGCCTAAATGTGTTAAAATAAAATTTCAGCATTTTAATCTTTAGAAAAAGATAATAATTAAAGTTTTACTTCAAGACATGTCATTATGTATTTGGAAAGTTGAGTTTTCATGTAGTTAAATAATATTAAGAGATCTAAACAATTTTTATAACAGATGGATATAAATAATTTTAGACTACTATTTCAGAAACAATTCTACATAAAATACATAATTGCAATATGTAATACAATTTTGAAAAGGTAATGTAAACAATTTTGATATGAGGTATGAACAACTTTGGTAAGAGTTGTAATTGGACACTTATCTATTATTCTGAATAATGTTTAATGGTAATGTCACTAAAAAAATTTACAAAAAATCACTGGATTTTTAATATTTTAAAGTTTGTTACAATCTCTTTTGACAGTAATTGCAATGTATTATTTATGATTTGTTTATTTTAATAATAAATGAGAAATAGTTAATAAATTGTAAAGAGGGCCGTGATATTTTTGTCAAATTGGATATTCTTATTTCATAACATTCTACATTAGTTTTAATCAACAGAATAAACCATTATCTGTAAAATTATATTTATATAAAATGGTCATTTAAATATGTAAAAATCTTAATGACAAGAAAACACTAAAGATTCTAATTTTTCTGTAAATGATTTCTTTACAACTAAGTGCTCAAAATTGATACAAGCTAGATAAAAAGAAAACTTTGCCCAGTGAAATACGCTTTTCGTCGTCTGATTTACATATGGATAAGCAATCTTTGTAATTATGTATATCATTGGGTGTGAGGCATAATTGTGCTTTGTGGAAATTTATAAAATTTCTTTACTATCGAATGAAATCCAGGTTTCTAAAGTGATGTGTTTGTACATCCACGGATGCAACAAGTTTTTTCGATATTGATATTACGAAAATAATTCGACTTCATTTTATTAATAATTATTAAACAATAAATGCCGTATAAAACATTAATAAATACCCCCCAAAAAGTTCACATTTTTGTCACCAGTTAGCGTTAAAGTCATGACGCACGGTCCCTATAGTTACTGACCTTAAGTGAACTTAAGTGAACTCTCTATTATTGTAGCATCTCGTTTTTTTTTTCGAAAATAACAAAAAAACATTATGTCAATATCGCTTTTAGAAGACACAAGCTGAACAGTACTTTCGCAGATCTCCCAATTTTTACAGATTATTTGACACTCTTCCGCGGAGCTAACCGAAATGAACGTGTTGATTAATATATATGCTAATAACAATTTCGCGTATTCATGTAAATAGTTTAGTTGACATTTTGTAAACTAATTATGATTTGGAATATTATAATACCTACCTACTTGTTTAAATAATTATTGTGCGAACTATCAAAATATGTATAATTCGTGTAAATAATTTTACTGCCTTCTTCACGATATTTTTTCATTTGTTGTATTTCGCCCTTTTTACTCTAATAGCATACCTCTTCATCAATACCGTTCTATAGTCGGGGATCTTTTCCCAACTGAAAAATGATATTATTACTTTTTTAATGTTATGAGGTCCACGTCTTGTGTTTTTCTAAACACTCCATGTCTATAAGGTCGTTGTGTATCAATTACACAAAATAATTTATATAATCTGGCTCCAAACCGTAGTTAAACCAATTGTTACGTACAGCTCCGTCGAGTCGTCTGATGGGATAAAGTACTTCAACGAACAGCCAGAGCATGGCTGGCTGAAATTCAGCAGCTTGCGTGCCTCACCATCACCGGGGCAATGTCAACTATACTGACGGGCACCAGGGAGACCATGCTGGACCTAACATCTCTCCACATTTTGATGGAAAGGGAGGCCAAGATTAGCTCCTATAGGCTCCTGAAGGTGGATAGTCAATGCAATGAAGAATTGGGATAGGACAAGACGACGCTGATGGGTGAGATTAATAACATAGAAAAGTCATAGAGCGTTCTTATTCCAGAAAAAAGCGTATGGAGCAAGGGGGATAAAACCCTCTCCCAGACGGACTATATACTGTACAAGGACGGCTCCAAAACTGAACAAGGAGACATACGAATAAATCTGGGCCCTCTGAACACGATCTGCCAAGCGGAAATGATTGCTATAGAATAGGGAAAGAGAGAGTTGATTGATTTTCATCCTGCTAACAAGACTATAAAGATCTTTTCTGATAAACAGGCAACCCTTAAGGCCCTGAGATTCAATCGAGTTGACTCAAAGCTGATTTGAAACTACATAAATACCCTTGAGTGACCGAAACAAAGTTACTTTGATCTGGGTTCCAGGACACAGCGGTGTGGAAGGCAATGAAAAAGCCGACGCGCTCGCTAAAACAGGAACCGAATCTGAATTGATAGGACCATTTTCAGCCTATAATCTGTCTAATTCTTTCTCCCTGTCCTTGTGAAATATCAGCTTCTGTTTACCTCCCACGGTTTTTTAAAGTAAAAAAAACTTGACTGCTTCAGACTCGAGTGGCTTTTTCCTTTTTAACAATTTTATTAGTAAATTTTGAAGTTCCTCTTGCTACTAAAATACGTACTCTACAAAGTCAAATAATGGTATTTGAACTTCATTTTTGGCCTCCTTTTTAATAAATTTTGTAACATTAGCTATGATTTCATATCCTTGACTAAAAATGTATTACTTTTAAACAGTTTGGCATATTAAACAGTTATAACGAAAAAACACTAATCACAATTCTAACCCAACTTCACCATAACGTTTTCTACATTCTGCGATGCAACGCTAGCGGACAAACTTTACCGCGAAATTCTCGAAGTCGACTGATGGGGTCCGACGTTTACCATCTTGACAACTACCAAAGTACTGGTCAATTTCTACATATGCTCCAAGTCTTAGAGTCATAGCTCCTGAGAGGTCACGCTGTGTTGTATCGAAATTTTGTTTTTAACGCCACGTGGTCCAATTTTCGCACAAGTTTTGTAAAGGTCTTGCTGACGAATCAGAAAAGTTAGTTATAAGTTTCTGTTTGTACAATTAGCTAGTACAGACAAATACCCTAACCTTGCTTTTTTGTTAACATATTGCTGATAATAATGCCTGCAAAAATAGTTTTTATAAAAATGTAGAGTTGCCTAATTTATACTGGAAATTAAGAGAAGCTTTAAATGAGTGTTGTAGCCAATATGGTATCCCCAAATCTACATTTAAAAACACTGCTTAGCTACATACAGAACTGTTAAAAATCTAGAATAACAATCATGAGAAATAATTATGTCGTGATCGAAAAGCAATCGCTAGCCATATCATTCCTAGTTTGGGTGCAGTGATTTCCTTTCGCGTGACTTAATTTGTGATCATGATTCGTATATACATACCTGAGTGAGAACCAGACTTTTTCTTGTAGTCCTGTAAGTGCAGCTGCAATGGCTAACATGAAAGTCGTGAGTCCGAATGATGCGTGAATTGGCACGAGAGCAGCTCTAAATCCAGCCGTGGCTCCTTCACAGCAGAGTAGTATCAGGAAACTGAAGAAACCGACAATAAACTGAAAAAAGTAATAATCGTAATTATTTTTGAAAAAGCTTAATATTAAAATTTTAAAATTCCTCATTTTCAGAATTAGAAACAACTAAAAATCGTAAAACTCTTAGCGTGTAGATATATTGGTCCAAAAGATGACTTATTGATCCTGCCGCTGTTGAAGTAGAATTAGTTTTATTTGATAATTCAAATGAAATGCTAAAAGTGACACGACTAGTACACAAATGATTTATTTTTGAGTCATATGATGCGATGATATCTTAGGTTCTATGAGCTACGTGTGGACGGATGTTGTGAATCAAAACAATCCCTTTACAGAGTTTAATAAGAATGTACAATACATAATGTATATATTGTCTATGAATTTGCTGTTTGGAGTGAAAACCCAATAATACCTACATAACTTTATGAGTGTAAAAACTAACAAAATCATATAGTTCCCGTTTTTAAATAAATAAAAAAACACAAAGGTAAAGTTATTCACGTTGGCCATACTTGAACTCATCTACAAAACAAATCACTATTTGTAAAAAATACACAAAACGTCGGTATGTTATAAATGACACTATTCTAATAAATTTTTTATATTTTAAAACTATAGGTACATACCTACCTATAGATTTTTCTGTACCTAAATAGTGCAAATATAGAATAAAATTCTACAAAAGACCAAAATAGTTTTAGCTTGAGTAATTCTTAAGAAAAGTAAAACCACTATTTTACTAGTCTAACCTTGTGAATTTTAAAGATTTCGCTCGACAAACTAACGTTATATTTTTAACTAAATAGTACCTAAACTTTTAACTAAAAACTAAGATTTCAGTTTTGAAATTCAAACATGTTTGATACTCAATATTATATGTTTTAAAAACCGGGTCTGTCCTTTTAATATTTGCGAAATCTAAATGATTATCTTTTTAAAAGTAACGTTGTTCAACCGTTGTCGGTATAAAGGTACCTTACATCTCACTCATACACACGAATTATTTATTGTTTCGGCCTTTACTTGATGAAAATCCATTTAATTTTGAAAGAGTAAAACCAAATTTGGTAGATTTTCACACTTTTATTTTAAAAATAAATTTTTTTTTTTTTTTTTAAACAAACACTAACATGACATATGTTTCGAAGTACAACTTCTTTTTCAAATGTGACTATTTACAATTCGGTATCCAATATATATACAAAATAATTTAACAAAACAAAGTACTTAAGAAAACATCAATAACATTACAAAATAAACTAACTATTTAAAGTAAATAAGGGTACTTAGATAATTATAATATCCATCAAATAACAATAAGATAGCCCATTACCGGGATTATCTCACAGAAAACTGGGAAAGAGGTTTAATAAGGGTGAATTATTAATATCTAATTGATCATTTAGTAAGTTATCTGAATTTTTAAATCTATTTATTTCAAGTGTTTCTAAATGGTTTAATTTAAGGCTCTTATTTTCTACATGTAAAATTTCAAAGTTGTCTGTAAAATCATTCTTTTACAGACAACTTTGAAATTTTACATGTAGAAAATAAGAGCCTTAAATTAAACCATTTATTTTTAAAATAAAAGTGTGAAAATCTACCAAATTTGGTTTTACTCTTTCAAAAAAAACATACACACGAAGTTGAAAAACTGCACAACAACGATTCAACTAACCAGATACAACCCAGTCCATGTAAAGAAAAGAACTTTTCATATCCTAGAAATGTCAAGTGTCAGCTAAAATTTCTACTTTTAACACATACTTTGATTTTCTTTTAGTGCCGCCTCAGAGTGCTAATACTGATTGTTGCATACTTGGGTAGGGTCCGAATATAATAAGAAGAACACAGCTACGTCATCATTTGGCAAAGTAATTAATTGGATATCGCCGCCTACTGGAGGTTTAGTGGATTGTTAATATTATAGGAATATAGGAAATATTTTTTATACCTAACAACTTACTTATTCTTTATTTATTGATAGTTATAGATACTATGTATTCGAAATTCAAAGTAATGGTTATGACGTAGCGGTGTTCTTCTCACTGTAATCGGATTCTACTCTAACTGGCGTCTGTGACTAACCAACAGTTGTTATTACTCAACTCGCATGGCAGAATGGCTATCACAGATAAATTAATAAAGAAGAATGTCGGATCCCGTGTTAATTTTTGGAAACAAATAGTGCTGCGAATTAGTATGGAACGGATTTTTTTGAACTACACTGGCTGATTGACTTGCCAGTTAGAGGCCGAATAAGAAAGAGAAGAATAAAAAAAGAAGAGCTTTAAGCGAACCGCGGTTCATTCAAATATAATTTATTATTTATTTACATTTTTTTGGCATTCATTACTCTAAAAAAAAACTAATATTTACATCAAAATAATGCATTTAACATAAATATTAGTTTTTTTTTTTGTAATTAAACCCCAAAAAATATAAACAAAAAATATTTACATTAAAATAAAATATTTGAAACATATATTTTAATTATTTATTATACAGTAATACATGAGCTCAATATTAAATAACAATTGTAAGTAAAATGAATAGTAGGTAGTCTCTCCCATTCTTGGAAAAATGGACCATATTTTGTTGGGTGTCCGGTGTTTCCTATAAAAACAAAACAAAAAGTATACATATGTCTTATTGAACAATTTCTCTTATCAAATATTAATAAAATACAACTTTTTCTCTTTAGGACCTAAATTTCTGACTCTACTTTTATTTATTTATTTATTGTTTTTCTTCGTTTCAAGGGTCGTTCAAATTGTTCATCACTAATTATTAAGTTTGCAACTAATTTCTTGTTTTTCTTATGCTGCTATATTTGTGCTTCAGCCTCAACTTATTCTAAAATCTAATTCTCAGATTGTATATTGGAACTGGATACTGGATGCACAATTATCTAATGAAATTGGTACAGAATGTCCAACTAACAGTTTAACTTTTGCGATGAAACCCTATTAAAAGAATCAGGCAAAAATGGTCCACACAAAGATAGCGAGTATTATTATCTAAAGTTAAATTTAAAGTCTTAAATCAGTTCTGGCAAATTTTAACATCGGAAGGAAAATGAAAAAGGTTTAATATTTGATTATCCAACTTTCTGAATTTTAGAATAATACTTTTTTAAACAATTAGGAGCTGAACAAGAATACTCTCGAGAATACCCGGGCCAGACATTTTTTGTTTCAAATATAAAAACAGAATTGAAAATCCATGAAATATGAAATTATATAAGGTTAAGAAAACAATGATAAACAAAGTCCTTAAATAAATCTACACACCTTTAATATTAAATTAAATTGCTAATACTTACTAAGTACATCAAATCAACACTGTTTATCTTCTTAAAAATAACTTGCCGATCTCTAGAACTTTCATCATAATTCATAAAATAAGTTTTAACATTTCATTATCATATTTGGCCTTCCGCCATCACGGTTTTTCATTTTTTACGAGGTTGTCAACTTTTAAAAATCTCAGCAATAGTATGGATATTGTATGGATGCTATGATGCGCATGTAGATTGATAAAAAATTAAAGTAAGAAGAATTTGAAATAACTCTAATCTCATGAAAGTTAACGGAATCCGGCAACATCGCTTTCATACTATTGCGATGGTGGCGCTAACTAATAGTATGCTAGGAACTACCGTGTTAACAGCGGCGTACATTTAAAAAATTCATCTTGTTTTATTAATTTATCTATTATGGCTATCGCAGCGCTGTAGTAGCCGGTTGTATTACGTTTCGTCCCCGCGGTTTGGTCCCCACTGTTTTGCCTTCGCCGTTTCGCCTTAGGACGTTTCGCCCCCATACCGTTTCACCCCCTACCGTTTCGCCCCTAAGAATTTTTGTAAATAAAAATGAGTCCATATACATACTATTTGACATACGAGTAGTTTTGAAGGAGTCTGACAAAAAATTGCCCCCAAATAGGTGTCGACACGTATGCGACATAGGCGGCATATTTTCAACTTTTCTTTTTCTTTGGATAACTTTTATGAGAGGGTCCTTTTTAGAAAGCAACGTTGATATATTTGCGTGAACATTTTCTAAAGCAGTTGCCATTATCTGTTGTGTTTGAATTTATTAACTAACTCACTCAAAAAATAGTAACGACTGATAATATTCAGTATTTGATCCCCCATCTGTATTTATACCACTATTATCTCCGTGCGAAGTCACGGAAAGGGAAGCAAAAGCGATACTAGTGCTAGCTGCGGATAATTCGTGCATTTTAGGGCGATATTTTGTAATTTTGGCATATCAAATACACGTATACATTTTACTTTTTTTCAGAAAAAGTAGGAAAAAAAAAATACAATAAGCAACCGCAGTTGCTGTGTTGAAAATTGTACAAATACTAGCAAAACAAAAAACAGTGAAACTTATATAAAAAATTTCAGTAGCAAAGTGGAAATTAAATCAAAGAAATAAATGGATAGGTGTACAATAAGAAGAAAAATTACCTTTATTTTTGTAACAATAACAGTAATGCTGGAAATAGTAGACATCAGAAATAATAAATTATGGAAAACCAGTTTTAATCATTTATTCTATGTTTTCTTTTGAACAAAAATGAAAATATAAATAACGATCCTTTTTTTAAACATTTTAACTTCACGCTATTATTAAATGGTATTTTTTTATTTTGACAGAATAGTCTAATTCTTGAATGATAACGTGATGATAACTTATTAGACTTAGGCAACTTCTCATACATTTTCCAATAAATACTGTTGCCTGTCTATATTTTATTGATTTTTATTGATTATACATAATTTTCTTTAATTTAAGCGATAAAAATATATAATAATAATAAATTCATGTTTTACTTGTTTTAAAAATGCATATAATTTTATTAAAACTAACATATATACTTTTTAATTACGAATTCTATTAAAAATTATATTTGTCAGCATACACAGAAATAGTCCATTAGTACCAAAACGAATTGGCGCTGTTGTTGCGCACGGAGCGAATACCTGAAGTGTTCAATCATTAAACAAT